CAGTGAGAGAGAGAGAGAAAGAACCAGAGGCAGAAAGCTGACTGACACAGAGACGGGGGATTTAAAGCTGGAACTGGTGGAATTTTCATTCCTTTTGAGTGTCAGGTGTGGAGTTGTGTAATTCCTTGTTTAGGGAGGAGGGTTATCACTTGCAGTTCTAGTGCAGTGCGGGAATATTCCTCACCCAGTGACGCCATGTCAAGGATACAACAGTGAAGAGGAAGTGTGAGGAGAAGAGGGATAAAGCGTAAATACTGAGTCACTCTCTTCTGTTCCAAAATGGCAAGTCCAACATGTTCTAGTCACATAGCTATTTACCTAGTCTGGATGAAGGCCATCTCACTGATGGAGATGCTTCTTTAAGGGGTGGCCCATTCGTTTAAAACCCCAAAGGTGAGTGAACTCCATAATTCAAATAGTATACCTCTCCTTGCGAGTGGACCTATACCCTTTTCTAATACAGAATTGGCACATTTTAGGTCCTTTCTTTTTAGAAAAATTAGAACTATCGACATAACAAATATTTTCCTATTCTCCTCAGTATTCTGGCCTGGAGAATTCCATGGACTATAGTCTATGGGGTAGTAAAGAGTTGGATATGACTGAGCAATTTTCACTTTTCCTTTCAAAATTGGAATATGAGTAGGCTCGACAGATAGGATTTCAATGCCCTATGGGGTTAGCCAAAATGTTTGTTCTGTAACAGCTTTTGGAAACCCAAATGAACTTTTGGGTTAACCCAGTATTTGTGAGGCATGGACTTCTAAAAGTTCAATACTTGTAATGTTCTTTCAAGCATTATATCATGCTAATATGTTTAATTATCACCAAAGAAGACCTAATTGGCACAGACACTGTGTATGTAACTCTATATGTGCCCCTGCATTTCACATATCTTGCAAAATGGATACAGAAATGTCTTTATCAAAATTGTAACAAAAATCTTTTCTTCCACCTTATTTACTTCCTTCATAATCTAAGATGGAGAGTGTGAAAAACAAAAGCTATTTGTGCTATTTCTTCTGGTCAGTAGACAATTGATCACTCTCCAAACAGAGCTTAAGGACCTAGAAGAGGAGATTTTTAGGTGCCATCAACTGAAAGAGATGCTTCAGTTTTCAGCTGAAGAAAGTGAAAGCACATTATAAATTCAGTTTACACTCTGAATCTCATACAACAATCATGTCAGAGTGTCAAAGACATATTACAGCTTACCCTTTTTTATGCAACATGCTGTGTTCAGTAAAACTTCATTTGTGTATTATTTGATGGTTTTGTTTTCATTTGTTTCACAGGTTCTTCCTTCTCTGCCCACACTTAGAAATGTTTGGACTCCCCAGGGTAAAGTTTCAGTCTCCTTCCCATCCCAGTTTCCTGCCCTCCTAGATTAGAATCATCCAGTTTTACAGTACCAGCCATGTCAAAAAGCCCTAGTCTCATTCTCTAACATCACTAAATCTCTTTAGCACTAGACGTACAATTCCAACTGTATGCTAACTTCTCAATTAGACAACCCAGAGCATTTCCAAATTAACATCATCAAAATGTAAATACTGGCTTTCCCACCTTAACCTTGCTCCACATCTCACGTTGTCACAGAGAAGAGAAAACCTGACTCATTATTGGATCTATTCCTTTAGCTCCCTGCTCTGTTCTGTCGTCTGTGCTGTTATGCTAATTCTAAACATTTTGTAAACTAATTTTGCCTATGGGGCAAACATATTCAGTGCTAAGTCACTTCAGTCATGTCTGACTCTTTGTGACTCTATGGACTGTAGACCGCCAGGCTCCTCTGTCCATGGAATTCTCCAGGCAAGGATACTGGAGTGGGTTGCCATGCCCTTCTCCAGGAGATCTTCCTGATCCAGGGATCAAACCCAGGTCTCTTATGTCTCTTGCTTTGGCAGTCAGGTTCTTTACCACTAGTGCCACCTGGGAAGCCAAGTTTGCCTATAGCCTGAAATGTACAAGATAGGACATTTTCAAGTATCTGATAATAGCTGCCCATTCATACAAAGGTAAAAAGTTACAGAACAGAAAATAACACTTGTCTTATTGGAGGTTTATAGGAACACACTACCAGACTTATCTGGATAGCTGCAAGTACATAGGATTCTGACACCAGGAAGTTGGCAGCAACCAGCCGCACTCCCTCTCTTTTCAGAATAAAAAGAGCCAGAATTCTAACTTGGGGAAGATGGTTCTTTGGGACACTAGTCCACCATCTTCTGGGTCTGATGATTTTACTAGTAAAGTCACTATTCCTTGCCCCAACAACTCATCTCTCAATTGTAATGTTCCAATAGGCCTATCATGCAGTGAGCAGTACAAGCTTGGACTCAGTAACAATACTGACTATCTCTGTCTGAATAAATGGGCCTCCCAGTCACCAATGCTTGAAGCCTTGGCGTTATCATTGGGCTTTTCATGATGAAAACTAAATTTATATTTTATCTATCTTAAAAATATACAGATGACTACAAAAGTCCACCACATAATGTGCCAAACCTAACCACAATGGGACAGATAACTGTCCATTGCTTATGCTACACTCCCGGCAAATAGACTGTTGATTTCATCTTCGGGTATAAAGCAGAGGTCTCTTTATGTAAGGGAAAGAAAGGACCTCTATAAGCTCGTGGAAGTCCCTTCCTCTTCACTCAGTGATTGATCTAGAGGATGCTTCCCAGATTTGCCCAAGTAGATCAAAAAGAGAGTCTGCTGGAACATGATACTCAGAACCATCTCCTCAGCTTGTGATCACAAAGGCACCATCCAGAGTAGCAAAAGAGAAGAGTTATAGGACAGAAAGTTTCTGGGGCCTCAATGATATCACTAAACAGTTACAAGAATCCTGAAACCGCTTATCTCCTGTTCCAGGGCTACAGGGCCTTAATAGAAGCCAGTGTTACTTTAGCCACTGTTAATTGGTATGCTGTGACTGAAAGAATTTCTGCTTAATGCACAAGGCCCTTCACAATTCTTGCTATCTGGTCCCAACCTATTTTGCAGTTTCTTCAGTAAACCTTCTGTAAATTGTCACAGCCTAGATTCCATCCTACAGTATTTCAGATTTTCATTTAGAAGGCAGACATTTCTTCCATGTCCTCCTGGTGAGCAGGTTTCTGACAGTTCAAGCTCTAGCTCAAAGTATTACCTCTTTAAGCAATGATGATTTCATCTATACACCAAAAGCCTCTCATTGTTTTCCCTGAAATCATACCCTCCCAAGAAAAATTAACTTATTTCTCCCTACTAGGTTTGCATATTATTTGTATACAATACATTCTATTGCAGTGATCCACTCATCTGTACTGCACTTGCCTTTGAGGCCCCAAATATGAAGATATCTTACTCATCACTGTACTCACAGATCCTCAAACAGTGGCTGTTACATAATAAACATTCAGCCAATGCTTCTGGATTTTATAAAATATCTGTGGTCACAACAGGAGCAAATACTATACATGTTTTGTTTTTGTTTTTTTTGATAGTGGCACAAATTTAATCACTAAAAATATACTAATAATTAAAAACATTACTGATACTAATATATTAATAACCAAATAACTAAAAACAATACAACTAATAATATACTAATAACAAAATAACCAAAAATATACCTTAATAACACACTAATAAATAAACTAAAATGAATCACAATTCCCAATAGAATAGTGATGTCAACCTTCTTTGGGAGTGGCTTTTATCCTACAAAATTCCATTTGTTTCCTGTGTTTTTCTTCTTCATGACAAAATGAATAGATATCTTCTCATATACCTATAGATATTTATATTTTATGATCAAAAATCTATTTTTAGATTTCTACTAAATTCACATGTTCCTTCTCTGAAATTTGAACTCACGCTATTAAGTTGATGACCCATATGATATGTGATATGGCAATATCACCAAAGCTTTTAGTTACATTTAAGTCTGAGGAAGCTATTGTTCTGCCTCGCCTGGCTAATGTTCTGGAAGCATCCTTTTCCCAATACATATATCATTCATCCTGTTCCAATTTTAACTTGTGCATGACAGTCAGAGACCCCAGGCAAAATTCACGCTAATTGCTTTCCAAGATGACTATCAGAGTTGAAAAGAACATTAAAGGATTGGTCTTTTCTTCAGAGTCCTAACACTCTTAAAGAATAGAAACCTGAAAACTATAGGCGTCTGCCTGATTGTTGCTTATTTCAGTTGACAGTTCTCTGTGAATCCACCACTGATCTCTGTGCTTCGATCAATCAGTTCAAAGCACATATATTCTGTATTTTTAAAAATGTTGTTTAATAATATTTATCTATTAATATTGCTGCAATCCACAAGGTTGCAGAGAGTCAGATAGGACTTAGTGACTAAACAACAAAAATTAACATTGCAAAATTGCATTTCAGATTTTAATTTCAACTTGTGAATTTAAGATGTATTAGATTATAATCTTGTAACTCTTCCAACTTATACAGAAACATAGTACCTTGCCCAATGACTAGTTACTGTCTTCATCTTATGACATCAGATGCCTTATAATATTTACTCTCTCTACTGCCATCCAATCATCTTTGCTACATTTTTATTCTCCATATTACTTCCTATTTATTTTGTCCAGTAGTCTAAAATCTTTTTTGAAGCAAAAGAGGCATAAACTCTAAATTACTTCAACTTTATAAATGAAAACTGCTTCAGATGAGCCCCTAGGGTTTTTTGTTTTGTTTTGCTTTGTGTTTTTAAGAAATTTAGTACAGACAGTTGGAATTGTCAGGGTTGCTGCATTGTACACCCCTGAAAAGCACCATTCACTTCTCCATCATCCATGTGAAGAATGTTCCCTGGGGTGTACCACATACTGTTCCCTCCTTTTGTGCGAAGGGCTGCTTACACTGTCTCTATGAGTAGAGGCAGAGATACCTGTGGTTATGGTTTTCTAAGGGATAATTGCATAAAAACAGTTTCTAGAGCCATGAGGACTTACCATTCGGGGGATTACTCTCTTTCTTACCTGAGCTGTGGTTTCCTGCTAGTAATGTGGGGCTCACAGAGCATCTTCCCAGTCTGCTGGTGACCACAGGTGGTCCAGGGGTCCCATCCCATTCCTGAGCTTTGATAGGCTCTCTGGAGGACGATGCCCCATGATGGCCTCTCTCTTTGCTGTCCAACTTTGGTATTGGCTCCGTACTGTGGCTCCGAACCTTCAGCTCCTCTGTGGATTCTGTGTATTAACCAGAATTATATACTCTTAAACAAAAGTCACATCCTCCCCAGATTCCTTTAAAAATTAAAGAATATTTAATTTTTTTCTAATTTCTAGAAAATATTTAATATTTTATAAAATATTCTAATGTATTTTTGGAAACTTAGGTGTGTTGGAGATGATAACATTTAAATAAATCACGGACACATCACACAGGCCCGTTTTTCTCAGCTTTGCAGGTTATCATCAGTGAGAAACAGTTATACCTTTGGAATGGGGAACCTCAATGAACCTTGAGTTTTCTTCAGTAACTGCTCCCTGGTGCAAATCTTCAAGGAAAGTTCGTAAAAAGCACTTTTACATTCCTCTTTACATTCTCATCTTCCATTCATTCTGCTACCTCCCTGGGACATAAATTTAGCCCAGCCACTCTCCTACAAGTGCTTTTGCTAAAATCACCTAGTGCCATTTAGTTGGCAAATTTAGAAGACACTTCTAAGCCACTACTCTCTTTAAGTCATTACAGTAAGAGAGTAATCAGATTAATCTCTGTATTGCTCTCATTGATATTTTCAATTCTCTTGGCATCACTGATGGCCATTTTTCTGTGGTGTGTTATCTAACACCTTTTCTGTGTCATTCACACCTTCTCTTCCTCCAAGTGTCCCTTCCATTTGGGTTGTATTGACTAAAAAATACAGTCACAACCTGAAAGAATATATTCTTTCTGTGATTTCATCCTCCAGGATTCTACTAGCAATTGTCTGGTGGCTGGTGGTTTCTAAATAGTTTATGGGAAGGCTGGACCATTCTCCTGAGCTGTAGACTTATTTATCCAACTGCCTACTGGATGACTCCATCTGGATGTCCCTTAGATAAAACAAATTTAACATTTCACATACTGTGCTGACACCATTTCTAACTAAACTAATGATTCCTTCTGTTCTGCTAACCATCTAAGTTAGAAACTTATCTATCTCTTTTTTAATTGCTACTCTCCAATCCATCAGTCTGCATATTCTACAGATTTTATTTGTGAATATCTTGTTTTACCTTCTTTTGCTCTTTCTATCATGTCTATCTCAGCTGTTATGGTTCAAGCTCTAATCATCACCAAACTTACCTCCTTGATTGACTTCTCAAAAAATAAGCTCTATATACTGCCAAAGTGATCTGTCCAAAATGCAAATTTGATCATGTGTTTTTTCAGGGACTAGATGTGATAGCCATTCTGTAAGTCATATACATTAGTATTTAAAAGCACATATAGTTTGGAATTAACAGATACACACTATATAGTACTATAATATTATATATATTATATACATTATATATAAAATATATACCAACAAGGATGTACCAGATAGCACAGGGAATTATATCAATATTTTATAATAATCTATAAAGGAAGAGACTTTGAAAAGAATATATATATATGAATAGATAGATAGATAGATATTATATATGTATGGCTTCCCTGATGGTCTACTGGTAAAAAACCTGCCTGCCAATGCAGGAGACGTGGGTTTGATCCCTGGGTTGGGAAGATTCCCATGGAGAAGGACATGGAAACCCACTCCAGTATTCTTGCCTGGGAAACCCCATGGGCAGAGGAGCTTGGTGAGCTACAGTCCATCATGGGGTCGCAAAAGAGTCAGACATGACTTAGCGACTAAACAACAACAAATATAGAAATACATAAATATAATATATAATATATATACATTTATATACATAGAAATGTATATAAACATTTCTATACATATACATTTCTATATGTATATATATACATTTCTAAACATATGTATTTCTACATATGGAAATGCATGTACATATATAAATGTATATATGTATATAAATCATACATACATATATAAATTTCTATGTATAGAATGTATATACATATATAAAACTGAATGACTTTGCTGTACATATAAAACTAACACAACATTGTAAATAAACTACTCTTCAATTTTTAGAAAAATAGCCTATGGAAGACTTTTTTTTTTTTAGGACTTTTAAAAAAAATATAATCACTTCCTAATTTTTAAAAGAGCACATGTAGTAAATAAATATGCTTTAGGAGTGATACCAGCTTACTACATTCAGAATAATATTATTTCAGAGAGAACTGATGTGATAGTCATTCTGTAGTGCACAGAGATAGGTATTAAAAGACAAAAAACAAAAACAAAAAAATGCAAATCTATTCCTAATGTATCCTTGGCTAAAATCCTTCCAGAAGCTTCCTGTTACAGAAGTATGTCTAAGCTCCCTATGACCCACATGATTCTCCATCTCACTTTTTTGTCTCTTTAACTTTTTAACTTCCTACTTGAACACTGTATTCAAGAACCATCGATAAATCAGCTGTAGCTTCTTCCTCTCTACTCCCTCTCTGACAAAAACAATGCTGGTTTCTATAGCTACTATCTCCTACCTCACCTGCATTGAAAACCCTTATATCCTTTCCTTTCATTGGAGAACTCTTTCCTCAGTCATCTTTACTGTTTAAGTAGCCTTTGAAGCCACCCTACCCCATAAATAGCCCATGGTGGGATAACAACTCTGTACTGACATTGTCTTGTATCATTTTTTTCCTGTGTACTTGCTCTTCTTAAAAGGTCCCGAGTTCTTTAAAGGCAGGATCTGAGTGTTGATTTTTGCTTTTTTTCCCATTGGTGCCTCTAGCTCTTAGCACATTGCTCAGTTGGTATATAACTAACTCATTTATGGTGTAGTTTTCCTAAACCCTCTGGCATCTTTCCAGTGTGTATAGGAAATACAACATTCCTAATGGAACAAGGGGATCCGGTGAGCGATACAAATGTATTCAAGTGGCACAGAGCTAATGGTATTTTCAAAAATCTAATTACCTGACAATCATAAGCTGTAAAATTTGCCAGGTTGAAAGTTTAATTCCAATAAAGAATCTTTGAGAAAGACTATAGTGAACAGTGACAGAATAGGTTCAGAGAATCTGTATTTTGTTTTCTTAGCATGTAAGTTCAAACACTCATCATCTTCCAGCAGTGTGATAAGACAAATGTCACACTTTGGTTCCCTGTTATTTGAATCTGTGGGGCAGAGATAGAATAGTTTGTAATTTAGTAAGCAGCTGGGAGAGGGACCTGAGAGGCCCAGCTGGAATCTTTAACCACTGTGGCCACATGGCTGGTGACCCATGACATGGAGCCCTTGGCTTTTTCTTTTGGAGCTCTGCTTTGCTTAACTACAAAACGGACATAAGACAGCCCTGTCTAACTTTCCCAATTTAATTTGAAGGATCTAATCGTAACCTACATTTTTAATATTTTAAAAATGAAAAAGGGCCACACATGTAAAAAGTTGTATTCATTAAAAAAAAACTATGGCAATTCGTCCTTATGAATTTATTTATTCTTTCTATGTTTGTTTTGGATAATCATTGAGAGACTGAAGATACAGATGTAAACTTGCCAGACCACATATAAAAATATCTACAATATTTTCTACAAAATAAAAATATCTACAATATTTTCCACAAAATATCTACAAAAAATTATCTACAATAATCAGTCTAGAGAGCTAACCTGCAATGCATAAGTCAGACTTGCAGAGGCTTTGGACTGCTATCTCTTGCAAACTGTAACCTGTATAAGAATTGGCCCAAAACAGACAGGATTTGATTAAAAACTGTCAGCTTCCCCAGTTTTTATCCCTGCTTTTAACATAGGACCAAACAGAGAAAGTCAGATATGTTCCCCTAACAATAACATATGATACCCTGCTTCTGGGCTTCCCAAATGGTTCAGTGGTAAATATCCAACTGCTAATGCAAGAGACATGGGTTTGATCCCTGGGTCGGGAAGATCCCCTGCAGAAGGAAATGGCAACCCATTCTAGTATTCTTGCCTGTGAAATCCCATGGAGAGAGGAGCCTGGCGGGCTATAGTCCATGGGGTCACAAAAAGTAGGACAGGACTTAGCAAGGAAACAACAACCCTGTTTCTAGGTTAGGTTGCCTGCAACTCACCTATGCCAACTGCCTCCACTGGGGGCATACCTGAAGCAATCCCTTTTTCCCACTACAAAGCTTTGCACTTTCTCCCTGCCTTGAGTCTCTGCCAGTCCTGGTGGCCGACTGCCTTGCTACAGCAAAGTCTGAATAAACAGCCCATGTGTTCTCATTTGTTTGGTCTTCACTAATTTCCACATTACTGAGGTTCCTTACAGCATCAAGATGCTATGCAGTTGTATAAACACTTGTCAAAAATATAATTCTATGAGACAGAACCTAAACCAGGAGGGCAGTTCCATAAAACAACCTCAGAAAGATCCCTGGACCCATATATATATAAGCTTCAGTGCCAGTCATACTGAAATCAAATATAAGAAAAAATATTTTCAAACTAAAACATCCCAGCAATTAATTACAGCAAGACAATTTAACTGACAATTGCTTTTCTGTGCCCTGAGTCAAATGGAATAAAACGAGTGTCAGAAAAGAACATCCTAGACTATTTCCAAGCTGTTTATTCATAGTTTCAAAGAAAATGTGACTCTGGCTTCCAAATGTCACAGCCTCAGAACCTAATGACCCATCTGTTTGAACTCACTTTCTCTTCCAGATTTCAAACTTAACGTTGGGATGTTTGCCTTATTATCACTTTCTAGGTTTTATTCCCCTGCCATCATTAAGCAGTTAAAACTTTTTCTTTTCTCTTTCTTTCTTGCGGCGGACGCACGCACACGTGCACACACACACACACAGACACACAGTCTTCCACCACTGGAATTGAAACTAACCAAACTTAAAAAAAAAAAAATGCCTTAATTCATCATTGGGTTCAATACTGTTACTCAGGTTCGGACACTATTTTAAATATGAAAGGCTGAGGATGTGTGTCAAGCCTCTCCCCCTACACCAATTTCTTTGTTCTCATTCAAATTACTCACTTACAGGCACCAGGGAAGGGTCACTTTGGTCTCAAACCTCAACTAAATAAAAGCCCAATACAGCTTTGGGAACAAAGAGG